TCTTTCTTTTTATATCTGTCTGTCTATCTATATCTTTGTTTATATGATGCCTTCCCCCAAAACAATCGTTTAATAGATAGATTTATCCATAATTATAACACATACAACACTGTTTTGATACTTGTTTCTGACATCAGATTCTCTATATCTGGTTTTGCTTGTGGCACACAGAAGGTATTTTTTCTTTTGACTGGTATCATACAAAGTTCTTTTTATTCTGTGTATCCTTTTTCTTAAAGTAGATAACACTTTCCTGTTATTGTTTTTTCCCCCCATAGGCCGAAAGCAAATACACTGTCATGAGAGTTGGTCTCTATCACCTGAGGAATTTGAAATATGGGACAGACATTACAGGATTAAAGAAAGTGATGGATTAAAGGAACCAATATTGCGTCAAACTCAGTTTGAAACCTTAGAAAACCTGGAAGAAATATCAGTGAGTTTAACCTAAATGTAATGTTTCCTTTGACAGGAGGCCTAAAGGATACCCTAAGTAACAAAGTCAATTATGAATTTGAAGGAGGTCTATATTAAAAATACAGTTTTGAGAATTATATGTAGGTTTTTGAGGTTAAGAATTTAGGAATTAGATGCTTGAAATGGGTCTTTGAAGTTAGGTCTGTAAATTAAAAATACATTTACAAGTCTTTCAGTATCCAGTAAGTTCTGTTCCTGTTTCTAAGAATTCCATGCAGGATGATGTATTTATGTAGGTATTGTATCCACACTTTTTCAGTCCCTTGTTTATATAACTATAAAAGTGTTACTGAAAGAAAACCTCAAGTTTTACAAGCTCTTTTCTGATTCGGAGAAAAAATTAGGAGCTCTTGTGTCATTTCACCACCTAAAACAACCTGTCTTCCATGAAAAGTTGTGACAACACAAAGCACGGAATTGTTTTTATTTTGGACCAGACTTAAACCTTTGTGATAATGTTTAGATACTTTTCTACATTCAGAGTATTTATTGTCCCTGACAGAAAAGTAGACATTAGTTTTGCTAATCAATTTCCTGATTAAAATCTCCTTGCCAATCTTAATTTCAAACTGCAGAAGCATGAAGAGAAGGCAACTCGTGAACTTTCCTTGTCTGAATGGAGAATTTGGCAGAATCGTCCTTTTCCTACATCCATGGTTGGTCACTCAGATCGTTGCTACCATTTTATCAGTGTTATGGAAATGATAGAACTGATGAGACATGAACAGGTAAGGTGTTTACGTTTGGCTGGCTGTGAACATGCACAAGTATTTAATGCACAGTTAGAATTTTTAAAAAATAATGAGTGCTCTGGTTCTGTCTGGTCAGCTGAAGCAAAAAGTGGGGAAGTGTTTGCGCGGGGCTAAGTTAGGCATTGTGAAATGGACAATGTGTATTTATTTTGTTTCAAAATGTCTCCCACTGGTATTCTGTAATTCTTAATCCTTTCCACGGAAGTTGTTTAAAAACAGTTAGTGTTTCCCTAAATAGAAAAAAACCCCACCCATAAATCATTCTTGTTTTAATGGATCCCAGTGTCAATTTTTTACAAGAAGACATTAAATACAAGGACTATATATGCCAAGGAGCGAAGTCACCAAGAGTGATATTAGGACTATTCCAGAGTGTAACAGGAATTGGAAATAATTTTGTATCATGTATATACATTAAATGCATCCCATAAAAATGATGTAGGAATGTATTACATGTTTTAAGGTGGTTGTGTTTTGAGGCTTTTTTAATTTTTTACAAGAAGACATTAAATACAAGGACTATATATGCCAAGGAGCGAAGTCACCAAGAGTGATATTAGGACTATTCCAGAGTGTAACAGGAATTGGAAATAATTTTGTATCATGTATATACATTAAATGCATCCCATAAAAATGATGTAGGAATGTATTACATGTTTTAAGGTGGTTGTGTTTTAAGGCTTTTTGGTTTGTTTTCTGTGAAAGCTTTAATTAAAAACCTCCTAAGAATTAAAGGATAAGAGGAGGGCAGTCAAACAAACATGGATGAAAACCACTTGGGAGATGAGAATTTTGTTTGCTAACAGTAATGAATAGCAGATATGCCTTTGTAATGAAAGGCACATACAAGAAAATGTGTGTAGAGGTAGATCTGTTGACAGTACCTGAAGTCTTCAGTTGTTCACCACACTCTCTTTTCCTCCAATTTAGCTCTTCTATGTTCCGCACATATTGCTTTTTAGTGTGTTGAAGTTTTCTGGGTCATCAGAATCTGTTGCTAAGCTGCCAGAGTTTCCTGAATAACTAGACTAATCAAGGAAGAGAATAGAGACATTGTAGTTGTACTCCTTGCTAGGAAAGTGTATTAATGGAAAGTTGTAAATAGACTTTCAGAGCTAAGATAAGCTTCTCCATTTCATCACAGAACAATGGCATTCTTGACTTCTTTGAGAGTCCGTGTTCCCAAGCTAGGGTCAAGAACATACTGCCGGAGAGAACTTTGGGGAGAGTTCAGGTATAGAGAGCTGAAGGAAGTCAAGAGGCAAAGAAATGGTTAAAAAAATTAGAATTGCTCTTCTAATTGAGGACTTCCCTCCTCACCACCAAATCAGGCACTGGAAGTATTTGTGACTTAAGTTCCTTTTGTGAAAGTGTATTGATACCAGAAGTCTGTTCAGGTTCCCAAGTGCCTTCAAAGTTGTAGACGCTAAACCAACATCTGGCACCCTTAAAATAATTTTCAGAGCAAATTTGTGAGTTACCAAGCGAGTCTTCAGTCTTCTCACCCAAACTCTGCCAAAGGAGGTGCCAAAAATCATAAGCAAAGCAGAGTATCAAATGCTTGCTTTCACAAGCAAGCTTTTACAGAACTGTTACAGAGAGAGGTCTGCCTACTGTCCCTCTCGGGAATGAGACAGAGCAGCTCACCTACCTCTGCTCTCTACTGTGTAGTGAACAGAGAGGATGTTCCTTCAACAGGCAGGACCTAAAACGATGGCTTTTTACATCGTGGTCATTGGGGAACATTTTGCTTAGCTCTGATGATGGCCATCCAGCATAGGCAGGGTGTGTGGTGCTGCATTCCCTGTGTTGCGCTCTGCTCAGAAATCATGCTGCCACGTGCCATTGTAGCACATGAGCTCTCTCCCCAAGCACTACAGAGCAGTCCTGCATACAGCACATCGCAGTGCTGCAGAGAGTCTGCAGACAGAGTCTTGGAAAATGCTGGAAGATCTGCATCGGAAAGGCCAGGATACAGCTATTAATTGATAACAAGTGATACAGTTGGCTTTCACTATTTCTATTTTAACAGCTAAATGTCAGCTTAATCATGATACATTGTAGGTAATGTTCTTGCACTCAAAAGACTGGGACTGCCTGTTATCTCATTTAGCTGCCTCCCAGCTCAAAGTTTCAGGCATTATCTGGACTGATTTCCAGCCAGCTTTCTTTGATCTGTCTTAACTAGTCAGAGGTGTAGACGCTAAACTTTCTTATCAGTTAGAGGAGAAATTATAATTGGATGTCACTGGCATGCTGAAAACACCTTCTAATGACTCCACTGAATATGAGACGTTACAACATGACACATCACTCCACCCTGTTGAATTCTTCTAGGGAAAAACAAAGCACTAGCAGTAACTCTGACCATGTCTGACAAGGTTGACAAGGCAAAAGCTGTAATCGGCACTGACACCCAGTTTTTAAACTTCGGTGATTGTTGGCCTCTTTCTTATATCTAAACCAAATTGTCAAGGTTCAAGGACATCAAAGCTTCACCGTAATTGTTTCACAAAAAGCAAAGATGCAATGTGTCTTAATCTATTTTGTCAGCACTGACAGTCATTTCCTGTATGTGAGTTTTATTAATATTTTCTTAATTCATCCTTGAAATCTCTGAAAGGCACAGTCTTCCCAAGACAGGGTATGTTCCCACTGACATTCACCAAAGGGAAGGGAAGTGAATGATGCATGTTGTCTTTACAGTGGGATCGCCTTGGAGCAGTCACTGTGCTGTGGCAGTCCTTACTCATCAGGTAGATCACACCAGCAAAAGCTTGTTGCCCTGCAAGTCAGAAGAGAGCAATCTCCCATATTGCTAACATGAGAGCATGTGTGAGTGTCAGGGAGGTCGTTTTGGTTTCCTGTTACTAGCAATCCTGTCCTTATTCAGTCTTCCTACAGCTTGAATTCTGGTGAATCAGAAAACGCATACAGAGAAAAATGGGTGTAATTATACAGTAAATCAGACCACAGAACCTTTCAGTATAGAATATTTTTTTAAAAAATATGTCTGTTTTAAACCATTTGTTGGCAAATGTCACCTCCTTTGAGGGCCATCACTACTACCATAGATCAGTTCAGTTTGGACCTGTGGAGCTCTCTGGTCCAGTCCAAGGCCCGTGTAGACCAGGTGGCTCGGGGCCTTGGCAAGTCAAACCTTTGGGATCTCCAGGGTTGGAATCCCACAGCTTTTCTTGGCCCCTGGTTCAGTGTTTGATCACCCTCATGGTGAAAAAATTTCTCCTAATATCTAATGAAAATTTCCCTTGTTACATGTTGTGCCCATTAACAGGAAGCCTGTCTCTGTCTTCCCTCTGCTCTTACATTAGATAAAGATGGCAATAAGATCCCTTTCTTCTTAAGACTGAACAGAGTTCCCTTGGCCTTCCCTTGTACATCCTTGTGCTCCGGCCCTGTGACAGTTTTGGCCGCCTCTGCTGGACTTGATCCAGTCCGAGATATTTCTTGTACTGGGGGCCCAAAACTAGACTAAGCACTCCAGATGTGGTCTCAGAGAGGATGAACAGAGGAGAATAATCGCTTCCCTGCCTTGCTGGCTAATGTCCTGCTAATGGAGCCTGGGTGCGATTGTCTTTGTTGCCACAAGGGCACACTGCTGTCTCATTTTTCTGTCGTAAGGTTTCTGTCATCCTGTTGAGGACCCTCTGGACAGCAGCCCTGCCCTCAAGCATGTCACCTGCTTCCCCTCACCTGCTATCATCTGCAAACTTACTGAACGTGCACTCTGTACTGTAGTCAAGGTCAGTAAGAAAACTGTTAAACGCTAAAAACCTCTGAGAAACACTCCTAGCAGCTAGCTACTGGCAGGACTTCATTCCGGTCCTCAAAACGCTTTAATCATGGTGGTCCAAGCCAGTTTTCCACCCACCCTTATTGTCCACTTATTCAAACCGTAGCTCGTGAGTTTAGCTATGAGATTGTGTCAGAAGCCTTGCTAAAGTCAAGATAAACAACATCCACTGCACTTCTCTTGCCCACAAAGCAGGTTACATCTTCATAAAATGCAGTCTTGAATTCTTCATCCCTATGCATTTTGTATGCTTGTTGGGATACTCTCTTGAAAGCTTGAATGTTTTCTTACTAGCTTGATTTGAAGTTTGTACTTTAAACTTAAAATTGTAATAAATATAACATTCATGTAGCATTCTGATTTCACACATTTAGATTTTCCTTATGATATAGTATTCCCAACACTATTGCATATAAAATTGTTCACATCAGGATCTTTCAAAAATTGAGCAAGCTTTGCCAAAAACTGATTATGCCACGTTGCCTATAGCCAGACCCATGGGGAGGCATGGATGGTTTACTTCGACAGTAACTACTACAGTGATTTTTTTCGGATTGTAGAGTGCTTGTTCTTAGGAGAAAATATTAATTAAAAAATGCAAAGGTACAGCAAAAATAAAGAAGCTTAGAGATTTGTAGGCAATGTTTTGAATTTCTGCACACCTATGAAAGCATGTTTATGTAGGTAGGTATGTCTTGGCTGTGTTCCTGACTCTGATGCTATGTAGGCCTGAGTAGCTGTGCGGGCAAAATTCCACTGACTGAAAGAACTGCCTGTGTTTGCAAGTGCAGGGCCGTACAACAGCGGCCCCGTGTCGTCTTCTGCCACTGTATTTTCATGAGCACTTCAGTTCAGCATGGGAACCATGCTTTTCTGCCAAATTTGAATTTAACCCTGTTTAGTGTCCCGCTCTGTTTCACAGCGAGACCCCACAGATGCATTGTGCTTGCTCAAGGCACAGGCACTTCAGGGACAAGACTGCGGCTGCCTCCTGCATTAGCTTGGTGTGCTTGTGCTGTGGCTGGATTGATGCATCCCCATACACATTATGTGTTCTCAATATACAGCACGCAGATTGGGATAGTCTTAATTCAGGCTTGGTGTTTTACAGACTGCTTTGACCTGGGCATTCTTGGTGAAGATTGTTTCTATAGCAAGTTTA